CCCCAAAACCCCAAAACCCCTAAAGATAAAATATTGTAGGAGTTATCATTAGTTAAATTAAATAAACAATTAAAAATAATTTATTTTACTTGCTGCTCATTAATATTTAAAGCTTCTTCCTTATTTTTACCAGCGAATTATTTTAATCAAATAATAAGAATGTACAATAGCAATAGGTAAAAAGGCAACTATCAAATAAAGAGATCCAAATATTGCACAACAGCATAGAGAAAGAAATATGCATATTGGATAGGCGATAATTAATAGAAAGATAGCTACTACTTTAACTTCTCGAGCTTTGTACTTTTACATGGCTTCATGATACAATACAAACGGACCAACAATCCAAGCTAAAATACTACTAACAAACATAGATATAAAAGAAATGAACTGTATTGCTAATGGTAGAAGAAGATATATAAAGCATAGCTTTCTAATAGATATCTTTAAGAAATTATCATCCTCACATATTTTCCAGAAGTAAACTGCTTAGATCATATAATATTCATTATGAATAAAATGTTCTTTTGGCAATCCACAACCCCAGCAAAATTTGTATTAGCATTCTTTACAGGTTTATAAGGTTTATCCAATAGTTTTTTCGACAAGTTTTGCACATTTAGGGCATTTTTAGATATCTTTTCCTATTACCCAAGAAAGTAACTATTTTTAGTATTATTTACAAGTCATATCATAATGCCAAACAACATTACAGTCGAAGCAATATTCAATTTAACAGTATTAGCATTCTACTCTAGAGCTGAAAAGCTTTTTCTCAAGAATATAGCAGCAATTTTCAGTAAGACATATCTTTTAATGTTTTTAAAGCGATTTTTTGTATTAATCCCATAATCTATCTAATTCTTAATTTTCATCTTCGCTGCTTAGATCCTTGATCAATGAAGCTGGCAGATTAGCTAAACAATTATTATCAAGACATCTCAATTAGCACACATCCTTTGTTATTTTTATAGTATTTTTAATCAAAGATTTTATACAGAGCACACAATATCTATGGCCGCAGTTTAAATAAATCATTATGCTTAAGAATCTACTCTGTTTACATCCCGAGCAAATGACAGAAGCTCCTCCAATATAAGAATTTACACTAGAATTGTCATCATCATTGATTGTGATATTTTTATTTGAATTTTATGATTAAGAATTATTAAAGTTAGAATTATCTGAATTGGATATATCTGAGTTTGATTCATTTGAATTGTTTTATTCTGAATCAGAGACTTCTGGATTAGAATTATCAGCATCAGACTCCTCTTATTTTTGCTCTGAATTAGAATTTTTAGAAGATCTTTTTTACTACTATTAATTATCTTCTATATTTTATTTCCTTTCGAATCTTTATCTTTTTTCTTGATTGCATTAATTACTTTCAATATTTTAATTATCGTTTTTGGAACTAAATTTTGTTCTACATTTTATTTATTACTACATTTTCAAAGACTTTAACATTCTTCCTTTGAATTGTTTCTTTGAAATCTCAAAATATTCACATTCATTATCCTCAGAATTATCTTGATCACTTTTATTTTTATCTTAATACCAGTGAATAATTTTTAGAGAATTTAATTTCTTTAATTTTAATTTCTTAGCTTGATTAGTTTACAGCTCAAAACATGATGTTTTAACTTCTAAATTTTGAGAATAACTTTATTTTATTCCTAATTATTTGATCGTTTCATTTTTGTTGATTAACTCAATATTATCAGAAACATCCAACCAGCTAAAATTCATAACAAATGAATTCTCAATATGTGACTTAACTTATAATGCATTACTAGTATTTTATATTAAACTTTGAACTTCGAAATCTTCATTTTTATCGAATTTCTTTTGTTGAAGTTTATCTGAATTATTTAAGGAAAAAGATTTAGTTAATTGAATGTTTTCATTTATCTCGAATAATTTGATGTTCTCAACTACTTACTATCTTGCAGTCAATTAATTCTAAATATCATTTTCCTCTTAAATTTTGGTTGGTAACATTCAGTCTTAAATATTAATAGCTAATTTTATAAAAAAAATTATATATTTCTGAAATTATTTTTACCTTAAATTTTAAAATGATAGTAGCTTCATGGGGTTTTGGGGTTTTGGGG